GATTTATCAAAGTCGCCAGGATTCTGACTGCACAAATGAAATCTTGCACATATTGGAAAACTTCTCATAAAATCTTGCTTTTCAAGGGTCATGAGTCACACGAAAAAATTTTTGCATTTTTCGCAATTTTTGGTTTTTACTTTTCGTGATTTTACTTTTGGCTGTTCAGGAGGCAAATAAATACGCATGGTCTCCTTCTATTGCTTTTTGCGCCAATGCAAAAAAACATAAAACGTGTAAGAATGATTTCGAAACAAATTTCATTTGTCAGACTGTCACCCACGCCAGTTTTTACAAAACCAGGAAACGGGGTGACTGCTATAAATGCGGTCAGGCGTTGCGGATGAACTGACCGCTTTTTATAAAAGATGAATCCATACTTCCGCGAAGTTTCGAGTACACTTCGAGGACAGCACTAAATCGGGCGCCATCCTTTTCACTAAGACGTCCCTTTTCGATTGCGTCAATGACGTCAACTTCGTCAACCAGAATGTCGCCTCGGTTCACTTTTTCTTCGAGATCTGACATTGCCCTATACGCTGCTGCAACGTTGAGGCTCCTGCCTCATACAACCAAAATTCCTCCCAAATTGAGAATCTTTAAGAAAATTTTTGATACTGCGCGGTTTCTCGGTTCCGACTGCATTAGCGACGTAAGTTGCATTTTGTTAAGATTAGATACTCACGCAAAATGTAGCCGCTTGTACCAGAGTTGCCAGTTTAAATATATGTTTTTGCTTGGCTTCGTACAGCAGCAAGATTTTACAGAAAGAACTTTCAGTGTTCCACAGCTTGATATGTGTACTTATGTTGGACAAGTTCCTTTCTATCCTCTTCTGCCTCCCCTTCGCTCGCTTCGGATTTGGGCAAGAGCGCATCGGCTGAGCCGGTGGGATCGCACTGCTGGGCCCCATAAAATATTAGCTCTATGACACATGTGACTATTGTGAGAGGATGATACTAGCAATTCTGCAAACACATTTTCGAAAATGAGAACACGAATCTGGGAAAATCTGATATTTTCGAACATGAGAATATCGTACCCGCACGCTTGACTATGGACAACAAACGTTCACGTAAAAGTACAGCTCTCTACTCTGTCTAGTCCCCAATTTAGTAAGATGCCAGCGGTTTTGCAAACTGATTGTGAAAGCTGATTTTATGCTTTTTGGAGTCGTAAAGATCACGTCTTCGTTTTGGCTTTCTGGTTTGTCTTGAGAAACAGGCATATGCGGAAGCTTCTCTTTGCTTACGGGCACATACATGGACAGCAAATATCTTGTAAAACAATAGCTTTTAATCAGTCTGGTTATCAAACAAGATGATGCCAATGATACCTGATTTAGGCTTTTGTTTTCACGTAAGCGAAACGTAAGCGTATCTCAAGATTCATTTCAGTATCGCAAATGGATGGAGAACACCCTCGCAAAATTACCATTTTATGTCTAATCCCCAAATTCCTTCCGCTAAAACTATTTATTTTCAATCACCCGCACGTAAAAAGCATAGGTAGATGAGAGTATATTTTATGCTTTTGGGACCGTACATCGTCTGAAACATTCTTGTAAAATTTCAGGGAGCAAGTATCACTATAATGCAGAAGGCTTATAAGTTCATATGAGAACAGAGAAGCTGATGAGTTCATATGTTTTGTGTGATTCTGCCCAAGCGACGTTTACTGCTAAAAATGTTCACTGCTTTGCTGCACAATATGTACAGAAATCTTTGGAATACTCTGACCAGCCAAAACTTGTATGTGTCCAGATGTGAAAGTTAGGCATACATTGAAAATAAACCGAAATTTTTGGAGTGGAATATGGGTGGATAAGGTAAGCTTTGATGCTGGAATTTTTCCAGTGAGTTTGTTGGCCAAGCGCTAACTCAGAAACACGGTGCCAGCTTTCATATATCTCTTAGTCCCACATAAGGGCGTTGTGAAGTTTGACGGGGAAGTCGCGCCACAAGAACTGAAAGATAGAAATTTTGGGATGATGTCCTCTATTCACGAGCGACATTCTGTTCCTAAGTGCGCCTGGTTCCATGTACGGATGTGCTAGGTTTTGTGGAAATTGCTAATTCGAGAATCAGAATAGCTAGATAATTTTCAATGAAAGATTGGAAATTTTTTATTTTTCTTAATGCAAAATACACGGTAATTTTGCGGAAATGAGTGTACGAGCCGTATTTAAAGCAGCAACCGTTCATACAGTTGGCAGTTTGACTGCTTCAAGTACAATGGGAAAAGGCATGACGCACCTGCAAAACTCATGCGTCGCAATCTAGTTTTGATTCTGACACCATGTCACTGAAGAAACGTTCACACATATGGCAACTCATTTCGATCAAAAACTAACGCCGACAGGCAGGAAGCAAGGAGTTGTCCGAGTGTAGCTGATCTGACCGCCTGCGAGAAATTTATTGCAAACAATAGTGCTAGTTTCATCAGGTCTACCTTTTCATAAAGCAAAAGAAGAGCCCGCTGCATGGAAACCATAGAATAGCGACCTCACGGAAGGTCGCTGCTACGTTTCTACCTGCTTGCGGTAGTTATTCAAGGAGCTAAAATTCGTTCCCATTAAGTGACAAGGAGCTAAAATTTAACGGGATTTGAAGTTATGCATTTTTGCACGCTGTTAAAAGTGCAAAAACGCATATTATCGAGAGGTTTGTCAGTCTCCATGTTATCCTGATTTTCTTCTG